GGGTGTGGGCTCCTCCCATGCCAGCGCCCCGCGTCCCGATGCCCCAGCGTGGACGGGCAGTGCAGCGGCCAGGCCCATCCCGGGGAGGATGCCTGTGAGAAGCTCTGAGGGCCCCCCCGCTGGCTCGGCTCTGCCCCCCTGCCAGGGGCAGGAAGTGCAGATGGGTGCAGCTAGCTTCAGACTTGGGGGCGGCTACCCTTGGCAGCAGCCCTGTGGGGAGGGGACCCATGGGCTGGCCTCCCTCCTGTCCATGGGGCATTCCTCTGACACAGGGGGACATGGGCTGGAGGGCCCAGGGCTCAGGGCGTGGTCCTGATGCAGGAAGGAGGGCCCAGAGCGGGTGGGGGCTCCCTGGACTCTAGGCCACTGCAGGGGTCCGTGCCCAAAGCAGTGTGCTCCGGGGGCAGGGCAAGCCAACCACTTGCCAGGCTTCGGGGGGCTACAGTGTGACGGGGACCCTGAGTGGGAGGAGGGGCTAGGCTCACTTCGGGGAGGCTCAGGGATGGCCTCACCGTTGCAGATGGCGGCCGAGAGCAGCCAGGGGTGGGGGCAGGTCCAACCGGCCTGATCACAGAGATCTGGGATCCTCCTGCCCCAGTACCAGGCACTCTTCAATTCACATTGTTTTCAACAAAGATTTTTTTTATCTCCCCGCAAAATCAACCCAAGGGAGGGGCATAGGATGGGAAACAGGACACAGGGCCTGGTCTCCAAGGAGACTGTCCATGCCACTCAGAGTGGACACTCATCTGCCCACCCACAGCTGTGCTCAGAACAGCTGTCCCACCGTGGACATGGTAAACATCTGCCTGCCCCCAGGGGCATGGGCAGTGAGTGGCAGGGCTTGCCTCCTACAGCGTGTGCCTGGCCGCTCTCACCTCCTGGGGCCTCCTCCCACTCCGCCCCCTCTCCAGGGAACTGCCTGTCTGGGTTAATTGGGGGATTTTTTTCTGGGGGACAGTTCTTTTGCATGCCACACCCGCTCTCCCAGCTTGATGTCCATGGTGTGGCCTCGCTGGCCCGCCCTGCAGGGGCCGGCGGCCGCGGTGCTGGCCGGCTTCCCTCCTCTCTTTTTGCTGAGTTTTGTTGTCTTTTCTTTCTGAGCCTTGTAAGTGTACAAAAAATTATTTTGTTCTGTCTCGGGAAACTGCAAATAAAAGGCAAACAGGACAAACTGCTTCATGTGCAGCTCGGTGCTTCTGCTGGGACCCCACCACCCCTCACCCAGACCCTGCTGTGGGGCCCCAGCTGGGCCTGGCTGTAGAGGCTGAGTCCAGACCTTCCTGAGCCTGTCAGGGTTGACGACCCGCCTGGGGTCCCTCTGTGCAGCCACAAGTCACAGCTTCAATACCTGACCCCCCCACATACACCCCCAACCTCTCTAGTCACCCCAGTGGTGTCGGGTGGGAGGAGCCGCAGGGCTGGGCTGCACTGACCTACTGAGTCGTTCCCTCCATCAGCCACCCCACCTGTATGGTTTGCTGACTGCCGGCCGCAGTGGCTGGGGCATGTGGTGTCCATGGCCACCCGCCTGTTCGCGGGAGCCCACAGCCTGGGTTGTGCGGACAGCACACAGGCCTGCACGGTTCAGACACCCATGTCACCCATGCACAGTGATGGCTGCTGGAGGCAAAGATGAAACAGCAGGCAAGGACAGCAGGAACCAGGCAGGCTTCTCAAGGTCCACATGGCCAGAGCTCCCAGCAGGATCGGGGGACAGGGCTGCCAGGTGCTGAGCCTAAGGTGCCCAGACAGAGGGCAGGAGGAAGGACTGGGGTGGCAGGGCCCGGCGCTCCCCAGCAGGCTCCCTCTGCAGTGGCCCCAGCATAACACCCCGGGACACCCCCAGGCCTTTCCTGTGCTTGGGCTCTGCCCACCCTCTGTGCCCGGACCTGACCCTCAGGGGGAAGATGTCACCGAGTGCATCCTTGCAGCCAGGACACGAGGTCTGTTGGGCCTCCCTCGGGAATGACCACCCCGGCCTCTGAGGCTGTTAGCACTGACCACATGGCTGCTGACCTGACTGACCACCGGCTCCTAAGGCCATCAGAGCACGTGGCCCGCCCTCGGGCCCAGCTGCAGGCCTTTCCCCTCTTCCCTCCCCGATGCCCTCACGTGGAGGCAGTGGCCCCCCTCACCCCCGACCCCAGGCCCTGCTGCTGCCTGCCTATACCTGTGCCACGTGCTTTCCTGGGAAACGGGCTTCAAAACCACCGTAGACCTCAGTGCCCCGTGAGCCAGAGACTGAGAATGCAGGGACCCCAGGGACCACCTTGGCCACCTCCTCCTGCTCCGCCCCGGGGCACTTTGCCAGGCCCAGGCCAGGAGGCCCTTGGCATCAGTGTCTCGGTGCCATGGGCCCCCCCTGGCAGCACGCAGGGACCTGAGAGGGTGGAGAATGTAGGACAGAGCCAGAGCCGTGTCAGGCGGTGTCTCCTAGACCCAGGCCTATCAGCTGTAATCAGAGGCGCCTCCTGCCCAGCCCCCCGGTTCCTGTGCCTGAGGTGGACATCGCATCCCAGCGCGCAGGCAGGCCTGTGGGCAGGCGGGCACCACGGCAGAGAGAGGTCAGGAGACCCCCACTGTCACTTCTAAATAGCGCCTGCTTTGGGCAGAGCTCCCCGGGCCTCCATAGGAAGGACTGCTGTGGGTTTGGAAGGTCACGCTGGGTGAGCTGAGCGCAGGGTCCTGGGCCAGGACGGACCAGGCTGCCAAGTCTCCCCGGACCAGCTGCTGGGACCACTCCCTGAACTGGGCTCCCCAACCCACAAGGATGTTCGCACACCTGCAGGGTCTGCTCTGCTTGCTCCCTCGCCTGGCTCCTGCCAGGTCAGAAAGGTACAGCCTGTGCCTGGGGCTAAGGCAGATGCCGCCTCCCTGCCCCCACCCCTGCTCGCACATCCGGCCCCCATCCCTGGCCCCGCCCTCCCCCTGCACAGCAGAGAACAGAGGGTGCACAGCACAGAGAGGGCACTGAGGAAGGGTCCCCCCAAGGCTCAAAGCAAGCACAGGACCATTTTGGGAATTTCAAAAGACAACTTTATCCAGATAGGAACCTCTCCAACAACACAAGAAAAGTTAGGCAACAATTATTAAAATACACTCTTAGCCGTATGACATGAACAGGGAACACATGGGCACAGGGCCTCCACCAGCCACCCTCCCTCTTCCAAATCCACCCTCGCCCAGGTCCTCCCCATCATCCATGACCCAACTGTACCAAGTGGAGTCACAGCCACCTCAGGCGCCAAGAATAGGATGGGCCTGCACCCTAAGGCGGGGTCCGGCAGGAGCCACACGGGCAGGGAGCATCCTTAGGGAGGCCAGCAGTGGCAGGGAAAAAGGCAGCCGGCAGGTGAACCTGTTGGGGCAGGTGCTCAGAAGCCACACAAACCCCATTCTCTGGCCCAAGCGAGATTTGGGGCTGCTGGCACTTCCTGCTGGGTGAGTGGGACCTTTGGCTGGCAAGAACCAGCACACTCAAAGAAGGACCCCTGGGTGAGACCACACGGGTTGACGCCACCCCAGCAAGGGCACCTTGTCCGCAGGTGGCACGCAGAGCAAGGAGGCAGTGTGGACAGGGCAGATGACCCAGGACCAGGCAGGCCAAGGGGCCAGGACCTGCTGGGCCATCGCCTGGGCCGCTGTGGCCTGGTTTCCTGCTGCTGAGGGTCAAGAAGGATGGGAGGAGGGGGGACTGAGCACAGACGGGGGCTGCCACACTCAGACAAGTGGGGTGCTGGGTCCTTGGTTGGCTGGCACCTGCTCTTGATGCCCAGTAACAGTGGCCACGGGAAGGCCACTTGCTAAGACACGCAGGCCCAGGTGGTTGCCAAAACAGTTTTGCTGCCAGAGGCACATGCCTGGGATCCAGGTTCAAGGCCAAGTGCAGATCAGGCAGGTGCCCCTCCCCCTCCAACACCTCCAAGGCGTCAGTGGAAGTCAGTCTCAGCAGAAATGCAAACTGTGTCTCAGAACTTGTGAATCCCAGGGGCTGTCTCCTCATGACCCTGCTTGTCCCACCCCCGTGACCCTGGCGGCTTTCCCAGGAGAACCCAGTGTGTGCTGTCACCCCTCGCCCCATGGATTGAGAACCCACTCACTGAAGCGTTAACACAGGTGATGTACAGGTTAGACAAGAGCCCTTCGGCATCTGCAGGAGTCATGGAGTGTTTACGGTTTCCTTTGGCCCCAAAATACCTCTGAAGACCTCAAATTATCTTTTCAAAAATGACCAGAAACATGAATTTGAACATTCCCCACCCCAGGTCCCTTCCGCTGCCTCGGTGCCTCCAGGAGCTCCGGTGAACGGTGACGGTGCTCTAGTCTTGCTGTGGCCGAGGCATGTCCCAAAGCCGCGGTTCTGATGGAATGACGGGGATGCATCAAGGGGGCCTCTGCGGACTACGGTCACATGACTGCACAGCACGAGTTTTGCTTCCGCGCCTAGAAAGAGACAGACGAGCAGAAGAGGGGCTGAGGAGGTGGCCTGGGCACACAGATGGAGCCCGGAGCACTGAGGGGAAAGGACTGGTGATGCCCATCCTTGCCGCCTCCCAGCAGCTGGAAACAGGTCACAGACAACCATGTCCTCCTCGCCTGCCCTGCCACCAGGAAGGCACCCGACACAAAAATGGGCATGGGCACTGGCTGGCTGAGGACCCCCCCCTGCCCACCCTCTACCCAACAAGGCTGGCAGCTCTGGTGTTTCTCCAGACAACAGAGTGGCTCCCACTTAGGTCCTGGGCCCCTGTGACCTCCTCTCTTGCTTCCTGTTGAGATACCCCAACCCCCCAGCCAGCTCCCCTCAAGGGACACACGAAAGCAACAGCGTGTGGAGAACAAGCGAACTCGCCCCACTGCTCAGTGAAATTCTGTGCAAGGAACCTGCGAACAGGCAGCGTCAGAACCTGGGGATGCTGCACCCCACCACTCAGCCAACAGCAGACAAGGGTGAGCCTAGGCTCCGAGCCTGAACCCGCCTGCGTCCCCTGAGGGCAGCCCGAAGATGGGGACAGGCCCCGGCTCGCTCACTGCTACAGCACCGCAGCGACAGAGTGTGCTGGTCCTGCTCGCGGCAAGGGGCCTGGGACCGCCAGGTACCCACCGTTTTGTAGAAGGCTTTAGAGTGAATTCCCAGCACTTCAGATTTGGACACCAGGTCGTCTATCTTCTCACCTCGTTCTAACAGGGACTCCATGGTGTTGTGCTGCAGGAAGGAACAGAAGCGAGGCTCTGCCCGTTCACCACGAGTGACCACAGCCCTCATCCAACCCATCAGGGGCAAGCACGTCCCCTGAGCCCTCCCCCACACGAGCACCCAGCACATGTCCGATGTGGGCATGCACCAGGACCCGTGACCTTCCTATGGAACCTAGAAGGGTCTACTAGCGCAAAGAGCATGTCCCAGTCCTGCACGACACAGGCATGGACAGCCAAGCAGGCAGAGGTGGCCAGTGCATCGGACAGGGCACGTCCGATTCCCTCAAGGGGCCTGTAAGTTCACAGACCCTCCCCAAGGGGGGAAAGCGCCACAGCCCCACTGCCTGCTCACATCTTCCCCCTCCCCTCCTCCCCCCACTACTGCCCCATGGCCATTGCCAGAGCAGCCACCAGGCCCACTGAGCCCGATTTCACACATGTGAAAAGGCATGGAATGAGAAAGGAGCAAAAAGTCCCCATCTCTACATGGGCCTAGTCCAGGGGTGGGCAAACTTTTTGACTCGAGGGCCACAATGGGTTCTTAAACTGGACTGGAGGGCCGGAACAAAAGCATGGATGGAGTGTTTGTGTGAACTAATATAAATTCAAAGTAAACATCATTACATAAAAGGGTACGGTCTTTTTTTTCAATAGTTTTATTCATTTCAAACGGGCCGGATCCGGCCCCCGGGCCGTAGTTTGCCCATGGCTGCATTAGGGTGATGTCTCCAGGCAGTGCAGTGCCTGGGTTTACAAAAAAATGTTTTAAAGTCAGAATACAAATGTAACCTTTGACATGGAAGAAATGTCTTTTTTTTTTTTTAAATATATTTTATTGATTTTTTACAGAGAGGAAGGGAGAGAGATAGAGAGTTAGAAACATCGATGAGAGAGAAACATCGATCAGCTGCCTCCTGCACATCTCCCACTGGGGATATGCCCGCAACCAAGGTACATGCCCTTGACCGGAATCGAACCCGGGACCCTTCAGTCCGCAGGCTGACGCTCTATCCACTGAGCCAAGCCGGTCTCGGCGGAAGAAATGTCTTACTCGTATATGTAGAGAGCTTGGTGGTGGAGAGGGCCGTAGTTTGCCCACGGCTGGCCTAGTCACTCGGATTTGCATCACCAAAGTAAACTGGATTGCCCAACTGGCGTGGCTCAGTGGTTAAGTGTCGGCCTATGATCCAGGAGGTCACAGCTCAATTCCTGGTCAGAGCATATGTCCAGGTTGTGGGCTCGATCCCCAGTGTGGGGCGTGCAGGAGGCCACCAATCAATGATTCTCTCTCATCATTGATGTTTGTCTCTCTCTCCCTCTCCCTTCCTCTCTGAAACAATAAAAAGATATTTTTTTAAAAGTTAACTGGATTAAGGTACAGACGAAAGCAAGGCCGCATGGCCCTTTACCCAGTTCCCCGCAGCCTCCTTACCAGAATGATCTTGGTCTCATCTAGCTCAGCCTGCACTTTACTCATGGGGTCAGCCTCTCGGGGATTCTAAGACAGAGCCGAAAACAAAGACGACGTCAGGCCTGGAGTGACCACCTAGAATCAGAGCTCAAACCCCCGCCAGCTGGACACACTCCCACAGGCTACTCGAAGCCGCGACAGCAGCAACAGCCTGCGTGGCACCCAGGTCCCAGGTCCTCGCGTAGCCCGAGACCCCCGGGTCCACACCAAGGCGGTCGGGAAGTCACCGCGCCCAGCTGTCAGGCTCTGGGCCCCTACCTGGTAGGTACTAAGGTAGCCATCCAGGGCTGTGTAGTGGATCGTAGCAGGGGATCCGACAGGCCAGTCGATCCTGTCCACCTGCTTGGAGAAATCATCCAGCACCTGCAAGACCAAGTTGCTCAATGACACCCCTGTGCTCGCCGCACCACAGCAACAGGACTTGGCCCACGAGGCCGTCTGGCCCCCGGAAGGGCAGAGGCAAACAGCCAACGGGAAGGGAAAGTCCAGGTGCAAGTTCTTCCTTCTCAAGTCCAGTGTGTCCAGCCTGAGACACGCCTCAGCTGGTGAGCGATACAAGTATTAGAATTTAAACTACAAATTCCATTTTTGCCAGGTCATGATTTTCCAGGAACCAGAGAAAATCAGTCCTCCAATTTTCCAACCAATTCTTCAAAAAGGAAAGATTTAAGCCACCACCAATTTCATGTGCTCGTAAATGTATCAGTCCTCTGGGGACAAGACACGGCAGTGCCTTCGAGGCGTCTGTCATCAGCCCGTGTGAAGAAACCGAAGAGCACGTGGTGCGGACCACACCAGGGAAGGGGCACAGGGTGGCTCGGTGGAGGGGAGGCAGGTCCAACAGGGCAGGGCTGGAGGTGGGTAACTAAGGCGAGAGCACAGCCACCGCTGGCCCAAGGGCTCTGTCCCAGAGAAGAGAGGCGGAGACTGTGGGCACACAGGGAGTCCCGTGGCCCTGGGGCATGAGCCTGGACACAGGGCAGGAATCGGTGCCATGGAGGAGCCTGGGGAGGACGAGGGGAAAGCTGACCACGGCTGACGGTGGACACACTACTCCCCTCTAGGCTTCGGGCACGGACGTCACCCCGGCCCCAGTCCCACTCGTCCACCCGAATCCAGTCCAGCCAAGTCCACACCCACCTTCTCCAGCAAGGTGAAAGCCACCCGGGACGGGTACTCGCTGTCAGCAATGACCACTCCCGCCAGACTGTCATTCCGCACGTAGACGTGGCACAGGTATTCTAAGGAGACACACAGACGACAGGAGGGCCTTAGACTCCACCCCCAAGCAGTCAACCCGTCACCTGCTGGGCTCCAGCCTTTTGGATCAACAAAGCTCTGCAGACCGGCCTAACGGGTCGCCCACAGGACTAGATGCACACGGGACAGGACACACGCAAGACACAGCGGGAGCACGGCCATCAGCACGGCCCCGAGGCCCAGCGTGCTCAACCAGGGTCTGAGGGCACCTTTCCAGGCACAGCCTTGAGCTCCAGGCCCAGCCTGGCAGTGTCTCGGGGAGCGTCAGCCCCCTAAGGCTCTGCTCCGGAACGGGGGAAACCCTGGGCAAGCAACGTAGTCTCACGTTTTTTAAAAACCTGTAAGCATGGCCCCAAGTCAGGAAATCAGCTCTCTGGTCCTGTCTGGCCAGCTCCATTTTGGGGAGGGGAGGAAGGGAGTGAGGAGAGGGGCCCACACAGGCTGGGGTCTCCAGGGAACTGTGAGTGTCCAAGTAGCAACAGGCCAGCCTGGACAGGGCTCTGCCGGACATTCACAACCCACAGAATTAACTCCTGTCACTTGGAAGGACGGCAGCTGACAAGGAAGAACCTTCTTGTCTTTAAGACTCTCAGCCAGGAGACTCAGAACTAAACTAGGAAAACAAATTAAGGACGCGAGGGAAGCCGTGAGCCCTGAAATCAGAAACAGGCAGAGAGGAATGACCGCAGGGATGTGAGGGGCAGGCGCTCCCCACCGACAGCTCCAGACAGTCATCCCCAAGTAAGACACTCAAATATGGGGACAAGGCACACACCACAGGGAAGCGGGTCAGGTCTGAGGAAGTGTCCCTGAGTACCAAGCTGAGAAGGCCAAGTCCCCCCGAGGGGACGGACTGAGAATATTCAAATGTCCAGGATCCCACCGCCCGGCCAGAGGTGAGCACACAGGGTCCCACAGAACACAGCCCCGACTCTGCCCACACCGTCACCCTGGACATAGCACCTCCACACCCGGCACCCACAGTCCCAGCATCATGCAACAGCCCTTGCTTCTGCCAGAAGTTCGCTCTCCCCTCCGGACGTGCCTGTACACACTCGCCTCCTGTCCACATCTAAGCACACAGGAGGCAGCAGCCCTGACAGGGCAGGCGAGAAACCCTTTTCTGAGAGGCCCACACTCTGGAGGAGGCGCTGCTACTGCCCCGAGAGATGGGCCCTAATCGGAAGCACGTCCAAGCTTTGGGGCTAACTGTAACCAGCAGCTAGTCGCCCACAGAGGGCACAGAAGTGTGTGCAGAAGGAAGCGGAGGAGGAGGGAAGAGAGGCCAGGCTGGCGAGTGGGTCCTGGCAGCCTCGTCTCCTCGAGGTGACAGGGCGTGCTCAGCGCAGGCTGCCTGCGGCGTAGCGGCCGGGCCAGCGCACACGCACGGGGAGGGTCCTCTTACCTTGTTCCTTGACGGAAGCTCTGTTGCCTTTGGCCGAGCGCTCCACAATCAGCTGTGAAGGTCATGGGAGGGTCCTCTTACCTTGTTCCTTGACGGAAGCTCTGTTGCCTTTGGCCGAGCGCTCCACAATCAGCTGGCTGGTGAAGGTCATGAACTCCTGAACACTAAGAAACAACACACATTACCTCCTCCTGTCACCTGTCCCAACACGAGGGAGAGCGACCTGGGCTTATCTGCAAGGAGACCTTGCTCCTTGGTTTCCTTCCTGCCCCCGCCCCGCCCCATCTCAGACAAATGATAACCTCTCTGTAAACGCACAGGTCCGGAGACTCACAAAGCATCGTCTCAGCCACTCAAACCCCCTCTGTTCACTACCCAGCTCACCCCAACAACCCTCGTCCAGACTTGAGGGCTGCTGTCCATTTCACAGCCTGGTCAGAACTGATCTGGGATGCAGGAGCTAAGCAGAAGCCAGCGCCTGCTCTCCAGGCCCCACTCACTTCCAAGAAGAGGACAGACAGAGCCTGTTCTGGAAAAACCCAAGTGGCCAGGACTGTTTGGCAGGTGCACAGCCAGTTACGGCCGTGGCGTGCGCCCTGGAAGGAACGGAGGACAGCAGCTTGGCCGGGACGTGGAAATGGAAAAAGGCTGGGACAAAGGCTTAGAGGGAGGGGGAGCTTGTTGGGGGCCACACAATGAGATTCTGGCTAACGACAGACTGCAGATGCAACAGTGGTCCCATAAGAACCTCCAGGAAAATTCACAGGGAAGGGCTTAGCAGAAGCATTTGTTGGGCTCAACAAGCTCCTTAAAAAGTATGGAAACAGCCTGGCTGGCGTGGCTCGGTAGCTGAGCGTCGACCACCAGGAGGTGATGGTTCAATTCCCGCTCAGGACACGTGCTTGGGTTGCAGGCTTGATCCCCAGGAGGGAGTGTGCAGGAGGTAGCCGATAGATGATTCTCTCTCGTCATTGATGTTCTCTCTGTCTCTCCCTCTCCACACTCTCTGAAAATCAATGGAAAACTATCCTCGGCTGAGCCCTAAAAAAAAAAATTTAAGTTTATAAAGTAAAAACATAATAGTAAGCTAGGTTAATGTATCACTGGAGAAAAATAAATAAATTAATGCAGCCTTGGTGTCCAGGGTATGAAGTCCACAGCCATGCCCGTCATGTCCGTGGCCTTCACCTCACTCACCACTCGCTCCCACCACACCCAGAGCAACGTCCAGTCCTGCGGCTGCACTCCTGGAGAGAGCCCTGCACAGGGCGCTTTACCTCTGATACTGTGCTTTCACTGTCCCTTTTCATATTTAGCTGCTTAGGTGCACAAACACCACTGTGACAATTGCCTGCGCGTTCTGCACAGTAACAGGCTGTGCATGCAGCCTCGGTGAGCAGTGGGCTGCACCGCCCAGGTGTAAGCACGCCCTGGACGTTCGCACGACAACACCACGTGAGGACCACACCACGTGAGGACCGTTTCTCAGAACCTATCCCTGTTGTCAGGTGACACGACTGCAATCCCGCAGACAGAGTCTCCAAATAAGAAATCCTTGCGGTAAAACCACAGACAGAGCTTAGAGCAAGACTGTACTTAGATAAGGCAGAACTGCATTCATTGTGAACGCCTGCATACGAGGTCCAGACAAGCTGGGAAATGGCCCTGGCTGGTGCTCAGTGGTTAGAGCAGTGATGGCAAACCTATGACACGCGAACTCATTTTTTTGGTTGATTTTTCTTTAAATGGGATTTAAATATATAAAATAAGTATCAAAAATATAAGTCTTTGCTTTACCATGCTTGCAAATATCAAAAAGTTTCTATATGTGACACGGCACCAGAGTTAAGTTAGGGTTTTTCAAAATGCTGATACGCCGAGCTCGAAAGGTTCACCATCACTGGGTTAGAGCGTTGGCCTGCAGACCAAAGGGTCTCAGGTTTGATTCCTGGTCAAGGGCACGCATACCTCGGCTGCAGGGTCCCCAGCCCCGTAGGGGCTCATGTGGGAGGCAACCAATCCATGTGTCTCTCTCTCTCTAACCCAGCGGTTCTCAACCTGTGGGTCGCGACCCCTTTGGCGGTCGAACGACCCTTTCACAGGGGTCACCTAAGACCATCCTGCCTATCAGATATTTACATGACGATTCATAACAGTAGCCACATTACAGTTACGAAGTAACAACGAAAATAATTTTAGGGATGGGTCACATGAGGAACTGTATTTAAAGGGCCAGAAGGTTGCGGACCACTGCCTACCTAACCCCCTCTTCCACTGTCTCTAGAAATCAATGGAAAAGTATCCTCGGGTGAGGATTTTTAAGAAAAGCTGGGAAGCTATTAGAAGGTTTCAGGCTTGGGGTCTGGTCACCGTGAGAAGGGAAGGACGCAGTGAGGGGCCTCAGGACAAAGACCAAGAGCCCAGCTGGAGTGCGTGCGGCCGGGAAACGCCCCTGCGGACAGTCCTACTGTGGGTCAGCCACCTGGGATGGGTACGGGCATCCCAAGCTCCTGGGGGTCGGTCCTACAGGGAGCCCCGGGCACCTTCAGCGCTGGCCCACAGGGAGGGCGGGAGGAAGAGCATCGAGTGAGCCGGGAGGCACAGGCACAGGGGGCAGAGGAGGAGGCCAGGGGCACAGAGCCGCGACCACAAGGCGGACCCAAAGAAAACACAAGCCAACGAGGTAACAGAAGCTGTTTCAGACCCGCCGGCCGCTCTC